TTTACTTATTTTTAATATAATTTATATATATAAATAATTATTTTTATCTCCTTTAAAAAACAAATAAAATTTATTTATTTTAAATATATTACTTTAAATTTAAAAATAATCATTTTGTTTATTTGGATTTGAAAAATCCAAAAATCAAAATGATATTATAATTATATTTTTTTATATATTATTTTATAATTTTTAACATTTGTTTATTCCTAAACTTTTGTTTGGAATAAATAAAATTTTATTGTTATTATATTACTTAATTTTTTAATCAAAAACACATCATAATTATTTTATAACATATTTAAATTAAATTTTCAATATTATTACAATTTAATAAATGTATCACCGTATTTGGTGTGTTATTTTTTATAATATAAAACAAAAAAATCAAAACAATGATAAAGATATAATTAAATTTAAATGACTTTTATTTTTTTGTTGAATTTATTTATATTTATTAATTTGTCTATTTACAATATCTTTGTATAACTTTTATATTTACTCTCTTACATTATTACCTTTTTATGTTTTTTTTCCTAAATTACGAACTTGCAATTTTCAAAAAAAAATTTCTATCGAACGCTGTCCCTATTTAAACGTTTTGTACAAAGTTATTCCAAATGCATAAATTTGGTGATAACTCACCAAAAATGATTATATAAATTAATATAGGTGCTCTTTATATTTTTTCTTGTTTTAAAAATATATAAACCATATATACAGGTGTACCATTTTTTAGTAAAAGTAGTGTTAGTAGGGTGAAATTTTTTTGTTTAACGATTTTTGTTTATTTTTTCAAAATACTGATTTTTGTTTAAAGGGGTGGAAAAAACCGCTTCAGGAAAAAAACCGCTTTTGATAATTTAATGGTTAAATGATAATATGATTATAGTTTTTGGTATAGTTTATTTTTTTCCTTTTCCTCGATTTGATTCAAAAAAACAAGGTTTACAAGAGTCTCTCTGACTTTTTCAAGATGCCGATGTTTGTTATTGAAATTTGTGAATTATTTTTTTTATGTAAAGTAAAGGCTGGATTTGCCGAATGATAAAAGGAGGAGCAAGAAAGATTGACTTCGAAACTGTTTTTTGAAGCCAAAATAACCAAAAAACAACTCAGAATTTATCAAATAAAATGAACTTTTTATTAAATATTTTTCAATTTTTGGCAGAAATAAAAAAACTCAAAAACACTAACCCGCGAGTGTACCTTTTTTCACACCCCCTTTCACTCCTTTATAATTTTTTCAGTTTTTTCATCATCCATTAAACAAATACTCAACAGTCAAATCAATTACCTCTCGAGCAACATAGTTAATACACGGGCCAGCACATGTTTTTAATAAACCACTTTTCAATGTCTCTCAGCAAAGACAGACTGCACCTTTATTTCACACCCCCTCTTGTTGGATTCCTCATTCGCTCAGAAATGCATTTCAAAGCCAAACTGGAAAAACGCACTTTGGACTCACTCACCAACTGAACGTGAGTGCATCCATTCCCAGCGGTTTTCAAGTGCCTGTCATGCAAACGATAATTGACTCGTTATTTCGTTGTACTTGCTTTTTTGAAACTTTTTATAAAATAAACGAAGCAATTTATTAATATTGGTCAATAAAACAATGTAAGACGGATAATTTTGTGTAAACTATTAGAAGCGGTAAAGGCGCTGCACATGTCCGTTATAATTTCTCGTGTTTT